AATCTTCCCAAAACTCTGGATTCTGATAGAGGGCCATGAGACTTAGACCTGAGTGCAAAAATGGAGGCTCTAGCCCCTTCCAGAGCTGAGATATCGAAACTCAAAAATTCGGCCCGAAAAAAAAACGACAGTGGTACCCCTTACGTTTTTTTTTTTGGGCGAAAAATTAAGTTTCTCCAATCTTCCAAAACTCTGGATTCTGATAGAGGGCCATGAGACTTAGACCTGAGTGCAAAAATGGAGGCTCTAGCCCCTTCCAGAGCTGAGATATCGAAACTCAAAAATTCGGCCCGAAAAAAAAACGACAGTGGTACCCCTTACGTTTTTTTTTTTGGGCGAAAAATTAAGTTTCTCCAATCTTCCCAAAACTCTGGATTCTGATAGAGGGCCATGAGACTTAGACCTGAGTGCAAAAATGGAGGCTCTAGCCCCTTCCAGAGCTGAGATATCGAAACTCAAAAATTCGGCCCGAAAAAAAAACGACAGTGGTACCCCTTACGTTTTTTTTTTTTGGGCGAAAAATTAAGTTTCTCCAATCTTCCCAAAACTCTGGATTCTGATAGAGGGCCATGAGACTTAGACCTGAGTGCAAAAATGGAGGCTCTAGCCCCTTCCAGAGCTGAGATATCGAAACTCAAAAATTCGGCCCGAAAAAAAAACGACAGTGGTACCCCTTACGTTTTTTTTTTTGGGCGAAAAATTAAGTTTCTCCAATCTTCCCAAAACTCTGGATTCTGATAGAGGGCCATGAGACTTAGACCTGAGTGCAAAAATGGAGGCTCTAGCCCCTTCCAGAGCTGAGATATCGAAACTCAAAAATTCGGCCCGAAAAAAAAACGACAGTGGTACCCCTTACGTTTTTTTTTTGGGCGAAAAATTAAGTTTCTCCAATCTTCCCAAAACTCTGGATTCTGATAGAGGGCCATGAGACTTAGACCTGAGTGCAAAAATGGAGGCTCTAGCCCCTTCCAGAGCTGAGATATCGAAACTCAAAAATTCGGCCCGAAAAAAAAACGACAGTGGTACCCCTTACGTTTTTTTTTTTGGGCGAAAAATTAAGTTTCTCCAATCTTCCAAAACTCTGGATTCTGATAGAGGGCCATGAGACTTAGACCTGAGTGCAAAAATGGAGGCTCTAGCCCCTTCCAGAGCTGAGATATCGAAACTCAAAAATTCGGCCCGAAAAAAAAACGACAGTGGTACCCCTTACGTTTTTTTTTTTGGGCGAAAAATTAAGTTTCTCCAATCTTCCAAAACTCTGGATTCTGATAGAGGGCCATGAGACTTAGACCTGAGTGCAAAAATGGAGGCTCTAGCCCCTTCCAGAGCTGAGATATCGAAACTCAAAAATTCGGCCCGAAAAAAAAAACGACAGTGGTACCCCTTACGTTTTTTTTTTTGGGCGAAAAATTAAGTTTCTCCAATCTTCCAAAACTCTGGATTCTGATAGAGGGCCATGAGACTTAGACCTGAGTGCAAAAATGGAGGCTCTAGCCCCTTCCAGAGCTGAGATATCGAAACTCAAAAATTCGGCCCGAAAAAAAAACGACAGTGGTACCCCTTACGTTTTTTTTTTTTGGGCGAAAAATTAAGTTTCTCCAATCTTCCAAAACTCTGGATTCTGATAGAGGGCCATGAGACTTAGACCTGAGTGCAAAAATGGAGGCTCTAGCCCCTTCCAGAGCTGAGATATCGAAACTCAAAAATTCGGCCCGAAAAAAAAACGACAGTGGTACCCCTTACGTTTTTTTTTTTGGGCGAAAAATTAAGTTTCTCCAATCTTCCCAAAACTCTGGATTCTGATAGAGGGCCATGAGACTTAGACCTGAGTGCAAAAATGGAGGCTCTAGCCCCTTCCAGAGCTGAGATATCGAAACTCAAAAATTCGGCCCGAAAAAAAAACGACAGTGGTACCCCTTACGTTTTTTTTTTTGGGCGAAAAATTAAGTTTCTCCAATCTTCCAAAACTCTGGATTCTGATAGAGGGCCATGAGACTTAGACCTGAGTGCAAAAATGGAGGCTCTAGCCCCTTCCAGAGCTGAGATATCGAAACTCAAAAATTCGGCCCGAAAAAAAAACGACAGTGGTACCCCTTACGTTTTTTTTTTTGGGCGAAAAATTAAGTTTCTCCAATCTTCCCAAAACTCTGGATTCTGATAGAGGGCCATGAGACTTAGACCTGAGTGCAAAAATGGAGGCTCTAGCCCCTTCCAGAGCTGAGATATCGAAACTCAAAAATTCGGCCCGAAAAAAAAACGACAGTGGTACCCCTTACGTTTTTTTTTTTTGGGCGAAAAATTAAGTTTCTCCAATCTTCCCAAAACTCTGGATTCTGATAGAGGGCCATGAGACTTAGACCTGAGTGCAAAAATGGAGGCTCTAGCCCCTTCCAGAGCTGAGATATCGAAACTCAAAAATTCGGCCCGAAAAAAAAACGACAGTGGTACCCCTTACGTTTTTTTTTTTTGGGCGAAAAATTAAGTTTCTCCAATCTTCCAAAACTCTGGATTCTGATAGAGGGCCATGAGACTTAGACCTGAGTGCAAAAATGGAGGCTCTAGCCCCTTCCAGAGCTGAGATATCGAAACTCAAAAATTCGGCCCGAAAAAAAAACGACAGTGGTACCCCTTACGTTTTTTTTTTTTGGGCGAAAAATTAAGTTTCTCCAATCTTCCCAAAACTCTGGATTCTGATAGAGGGCCATGAGACTTAGACCTGAGTGCAAAAATGGAGGCTCTAGCCCCTTCCAGAGCTGAGATATCGAAACTCAAAAATTCGGCCCGAAAAAAAAACGACAGTGGTACCCCTTACGTTTTTTTTTTTTGGGCGAAAAATTAAGTTTCTCCAATCTTCCCAAAACTCTGGATTCTGATAGAGGGCCATGAGACTTAGACCTGAGTGCAAAAATGGAGGCTCTAGCCCCTTCCAGAGCTGAGATATCGAAACTCAAAAATTCGGCCCGAAAAAAAAACGACAGTGGTACCCCTTACGTTTTTTTTTTGGGCGAAAAATTAAGTTTCTCCAATCTTCCCAAAACTCTGGATTCTGATAGAGGGCCATGAGACTTAGACCTGAGTGCAAAAATGGAGGCTCTAGCCCCTTCCAGAGCTGAGATATCGAAACTCAAAAATTCGGCCCGAAAAAAAAACGACAGTGGTACCCCTTACGTTTTTTTTTTTGGGCGAAAAATTAAGTTTCTCCAATCTTCCCAAAACTCTGGATTCTGATAGAGGGCCATGAGACTTAGACCTGAGTGCAAAAATGGAGGCTCTAGCCCCTTCCAGAGCTGAGATATCGAAACTCAAAAATTCGGCCCGAAAAAAAAACGACAGTGGTACCCCTTACGTTTTTTTTTTTGGGCGAAAAATTAAGTTTCTCCAATCTTCCCAAAACTCTGGATTCTGATAGAGGGCCATGAGACTTAGACCTGAGTGCAAAAATGGAGGCTCTAGCCCCTTCCAGAGCTGAGATATCGAAACTCAAAAATTCGGCCCGAAAAAAAAACGACAGTGGTACCCCTTACGTTTTTTTTTTTTGGGCGAAAAATTAAGTTTCTCCAATCTTCCCAAAACTCTGGATTCTGATAGAGGGCCATGAGACTTAGACCTGAGTGCAAAAATGGAGGCTCTAGCCCCTTCCAGAGCTGAGATATCGAAACTCAAAAATTCGGCCCGAAAAAAAAACGACAGTGGTACCCCTTACGTTTTTTTTTTTTGGGCGAAAAATTAAGTTTCTCCAATCTTCCCAAAACTCTGGATTCTGATAGAGGGCCATGAGACTTAGACCTGAGTGCAAAAATGGAGGCTCTAGCCCCTTCCAGAGCTGAGATATCGAAACTCAAAAATTCGGCCCGAAAAAAAAACGACAGTGGTACCCCTTACGTTTTTTTTTTTGGGCGAAAAATTAAGTTTCTCCAATCTTCCCAAAACTCTGGATTCTGATAGAGGGCCATGAGACTTAGACCTGAGTGCAAAAATGGAGGCTCTAGCCCCTTCCAGAGCTGAGATATCGAAACTCAAAAATTCGGCCCGAAAAAAAAACGACAGTGGTACCCCTTACGTTTTTTTTTTTGGGCGAAAAATTAAGTTTCTCCAATCTTCCCAAAACTCTGGATTCTGATAGAGGGCCATGAGACTTAGACCTGAGTGCAAAAATGGAGGCTCTAGCCCCTTCCAGAGCTGAGATATCGAAACTCAAAAATTCGGCCCGAAAAAAAAACGACAGTGGTACCCCTTACGTTTTTTTTTTTTGGGCGAAAAATTAAGTTTCTCCAATCTTCCCAAAACTCTGGATTCTGATAGAGGGCCATGAGACTTAGACCTGAGTGCAAAAATGGAGGCTCTAGCCCCTTCCAGAGCTGAGATATCGAAACTCAAAAATTCGGCCCGAAAAAAAAACGACAGTGGTACCCCTTACGTTTTTTTTTTTGGGCGAAAAATTAAGTTTCTCCAATCTTCCCAAAACTCTGGATTCTGATAGAGGGCCATGAGACTTAGACCTGAGTGCAAAAATGGAGGCTCTAGCCCCTTCCAGAGCTGAGATATCGAAACTCAAAAATTCGGCCCGAAAAAAAAACGACAGTGGTACCCCTTACGTTTTTTTTTTTGGGCGAAAAATTAAGTTTCTCCAATCTTCCCAAAACTCTGGATTCTGATAGAGGGCCATGAGACTTAGACCTGAGTGCAAAAATGGAGGCTCTAGACCCTTCCAGAGCTGAGATATTGAATACCACGTAGCATTTATTCCATTATAAATATCTCAATATCTCAGCTCTGGAAGGATCTAGAGCCTCCATTTTTGCACTCAGGTCTAAGTCTCATGGCCCTCTATCAGAATACAGAGTTTCAAGAAGATTGGAGAAACTTATTTTTTCGCACAAAAAAAAAAACAAAAAACGACTGGGGTAACACTGTCGTTTTTTTTTTTTTTTTTTTTTTGGTCGAAATTTTGAGTTTCTCTTTTCTTCTTGAAACTCTGGATTCTGATAGAGGGTCATGGGACTTAGACCTAAGTGCAAAAATGGAGGCTCTATGGAAACCAAGCGTCACTGGTGAGTTGAGTTTGACCTCTTAAACCTCCATTCAGGAACACAATTTGGACTGGTTTCCTCGTATGAGGGCCATGTCTCTGGTCAGCAGTGATGGAGAAGGTGAGCAGAATGAACTACGCAGTCTACAGGAGAAACTGGAGTCCACAATGAGGTTGGTCTCCAACCTGACCAATCAGCTCACAGAGCTCAAAGAGCAGGTGAGTGTGCGACTTGTTTAATAATGGTATACGAATACAAACTATACATTCTTAGAAAGTTTTTTTTTTTTTATAAAAACAAAAAGCCTGTACTACACCTAAATTGTATAAGTTGTCAACTTATGGTGTGATATGTGTATATCTAACTTAATTGTTTTCTTTGAACTCATCCTTGTGTGTCAATCTTAAGATGACTGAGCAGAGGAAACACAAGCAACGGATTGGTCTGCTGGGAAACCCCGCCCACCTAAATATCAACCCACAGCAGCCGGCATGAGAGACGTGGTCTGAGGTCTGACTGACATGATGGAAGCAAGACAAGCATATATGTGCTCATAGTGTCACTACCTTAAAAGCATGTTATATTCTCTTAGTATGGACTCTAACATGGTCATAAAGTTATACTTGGATCTGTACAATCAAAGGACTTGAATCATGATATTTTGGCCCCCATTGCTGTATGATGTGGTATATTCATATTTTAAGCACTGACATGATCACAAGAATCTTTGCACTGTGTATAAGTATAGTATTATAGGATGCTTTCACAGAGTGGTTCTCAGAATTATGTCCCTCTGGTTTTCTTCGCACCTTTTTACCAAAATGGATTCAGTTTGTCATTAATGTGTGAAAGTTTTGTATATTTAATATATTTATTTTGATATTTCTCTTTTCGAATTTCAATTACTGTGATTGGTTGGCACTGATTAAAATCTGTTTAGACTGATTAAAATCTGTTTAGACAAGTTTCTAGTAAGTAACATGTAACAATGATTGAGACTTGATACCTTACTCCTTTGGACTTTAAAGGTTGGGTTCACTTTATAGGAACATGTCTGCTATGAAGATGCAAAAATAAGTAAATTCAGTAGAACTTGGAGACAATATTACATGACAGAATGATTTAATGAAAAAATGTGACATTGTGCATCAAATTTGAGAACCATGAGCTTCAAGCACATTAGCATATTCAGCCCTACTGATCACAGCGACCTGCAGGACAGAATACGTCACAGATTCACAGAGCTCTTCACATTTAGTTCTCAGAGGTGCTCTTCAAATAATAGATGAAAAAGAAATAATCCTAGTAATAAGCATGACAGTAATTGAGATGAACACTTTAATCACTTAATCTCCTTAAACACTAGACTGTAAAGTAAAGTAAAAAAAAAAAAAATTAAAGCACAAATCAATTTCAAATATATAGTTGAGATTTAAGAAATAGTTTTGTCAAAAATAGTCAAAGAAAATAAGTATGCTTAATGTGCAAAAATAAAATAGAAATATCACCCACCTATTGTGACAAGACTTAAAATGTAAACATTATATTTTGTTCCTGCAGGAAATGTAACCGAGGTAAGATGTTTGAAAATTCTTGCTACATTTTGAGCATTTTTAAAACGCTCGCATCACAAATCTGAAAGGAGCTGAAACATCCCGGTGGTTAACACTGTACAAAGTAAAGTCCATGTGTGTTGATAAATCTGCAGTCATTTGTTTTAAACAAAGTTAGTATTCTATTTTTATGAATTGCATTTAGTGTTAAATGAAAGCCAAATTACTTAATTGACACTCCAGTGTGTGAATGACTGAGATGTAAAGTATTGCTTAAAGAAATGTGAAGCCAGAACCCAAATCAAAAAACAAAAGCAGTAAACAGTCATTATGTGAAGACACACACCTGCACTGATCATTTAGTCCCACATAACACAAAGCGTTCTAGCAAAAATCTTAAGTAGAAATGTATAGAAACAATACTTGCATCTCATTCAAATCTGTTCTGAACCAGTCTCGAATGCAAGCAGACCTACACACGTGAACGCACACTCACACCCCAACACTAGGGTTAATAAATCAATAACTGGATTCCAGTCACCTATGTGGCAATTGAGAAAAGAGAAAATACAAATGTAAAGGCCTAAAGTTGCTCATCTTCAGGACTCAGAACTGATTTTCCCCCACTGTTCAAACACAAAGAAACCAATAAGAGGAGTCACATAAAAAGGATGGAAGAGCATGATGGAGTGTTGCTGATGAACAGGATGTGATGTCACAGGTCAATAGTGGGCCGGAACAGTGAGAAGAGCCTCTTCTGCCAGACAGGAGATGTCCACATTCTGTCACCGTCAAAAAAGGATTTTTATTTTGGGTTCAAAAACGAACAGAAATAATATTTATACATGTAAAATGACTGTCTGGTTTCCTTACCTCAGGTTTGTCTCTGTGAGTGTTCACTGCTTCTACATTAAGATAGATTGACTCCACTTTACAGCCTAGTGCAGGAGAGAATCTAGGTTACATTAAAGTACATTTCAAGAGGTCATGTTTCCAGGTAATTAAATGAACCCTTCAACAAATAAGACACCAGGGAGAAATGCTCCCTCAGGGAACCCTGCAAATTTCTCAACGCGTCTTTAAACTGGTTTCATCAATCACAGCCGTAAAATACTTCATTTAAACTACTCTACTTAAACTACTTAAGGTTGGCTTTACACGTTCTGTTAGTTTTTGCTGTCAGTGCCTCTCATGGAGTCAAGGTCGTCTTAAACGCACAATAAGCCCATTCATTAAACTATTACACTGCTTCAGAAGAATAGAAATTAAGAAAATCTTTGTCTGAAAACATTTCTCGCTACGGTTTATATTTTGTGTGCCCAGAATTTTAGTTTCTCTGATCTTCTTGAAACTCTGGATTCTGATAGAGGGCCATGAGACTTAGACCTGAGTGCAAAAATGGAGGCTCTAGCCCCTTCCAGAGCTGAGATATCGAAACTCAAAAATTCGGCCCGAAAAAAAAACGACAGTGGTACCCCTTACGTTTTTTTTTTGGGCGAAAAATTAAGTTTCTCCAATCTTCCCAAAACTCTGGATTCTGATAAAGGGCCATGAGACTTAGACCTGAGTGCAAAAATGGAGACTCTAGCCCCTTCCAGAGCTGAGATATCGAAACTCAAAAATTCGGCCCGAAAAAAAAACGACAGTGGTACCCCTTACGTTTTTTTTTTTGGGCGAAAAATTAAGTTTCTCCAATCTTCCCAAAACTCTGGATTCTGATAGAGGGCCATGAGACTTAGACCTGAGTGCAAAAATGGAGGCTCTAGCCCCTTCCAGAGCTGAGATATCGAAACTCAAAAATTCGGCCCGAAAAAAAAACGACAGTGGTACCCCTTACGTTTTTTTTTTGGGCGAAAAATTAAGTTTCTCCAATCTTCCCAAAACTCTGGATTCTGATAGAGGGCCATGAGACTTAGACCTGAGTGCAAAAATGGAGGCTCTAGCCCCTTCCAGAGCTGAGATATCGAAACTCAAAAATTCGGCCCGAAAAAAAAACGACAGTGGTACCCCTTACGTTTTTTTTTTGGGCGAAAAATTAAGTTTCTCCAATCTTCCCAAAACTCTGGATTCTGATAGAGGGCCATGAGACTTAGACCTGAGTGCAAAAATGGAGGCTCTAGCCCCTTCCAGAGCTGAGATATCGAAACTCAAAAATTCGGCCCGAAAAAAAAACGACAGTGGTACCCCTTACGTTTTTTTTTTTGGGCGAAAAATTAAGTTTCTCCAATCTTCCCAAAACTCTGGATTCTGATAGAGGGCCATGAGACTTAGACCTGAGTGCAAAAATGGAGGCTCTAGCCCCTTCCAGAGCTGAGATATCGAAACTCAAAAATTCGGCCCGAAAAAAAAACGACAGTGGTACCCCTTACGTTTTTTTTTTTTGGGCGAAAAATTAAGTTTCTCCAATCTTCCCAAAACTCTGGATTCTGATAGAGGGCCATGAGACTTAGACCTGAGTGCAAAAATGGAGGCTCTAGCCCCTTCCAGAGCTGAGATATCGAAACTCAAAAATTCGGCCCGAAAAAAAAACGACAGTGGTACCCCTTACGTTTTTTTTTTTGGCGAAAAATTAAGTTTCTCCAATCTTCCCAAAACTCTGGATTCTGATAGAGGGCCATGAGACTTAGACCTGAGTGCAAAAATGGAGGCTCTAGCCCCTTCCAGAGCTGAGATATCGAAACTCAAAAATTCGGCCCGAAAAAAAAACGACAGTGGTACCCCTTACGTTTTTTTTTTTGGGCGAAAAATTAAGTTTCTCCAATCTTCCCAAAACTCTGGATTCTGATAGAGGGCCATGAGACTTAGACCTGAGTGCAAAAATGGAGGCTCTAGCCCCTTCCAGAGCTGAGATATCGAAACTCAAAAATTCGGCCCGAAAAAAAAACGACAGTGGTACCCCTTACGTTTTTTTTTTTGGGCGAAAAATTAAGTTTCTCCAATCTTCCCAAAACTCTGGATTCTGATAGAGGGCCATGAGACTTAGACCTGAGTGCAAAAATGGAGGCTCTAGCCCCTTCCAGAGCTGAGATATCGAAACTCAAAAATTCGGCCCGAAAAAAAAAACGACAGTGGTACCCCTTACGTTTTTTTTTTTTGGGCGAAAAATTAAGTTTCTCCAATCTTCCCAAAACTCTGGATTCTGATAGAGGGCCATGAGACTTAGACCTGAGTGCAAAAATGGAGGCTCTAGCCCCTTCCAGAGCTGAGATATCGAAACTCAAAAATTCGGCCCGAAAAAAAAACGACAGTGGTACCCCTTACGTTTTTTTTTTTTGGGCGAAAAATTAAGTTTCTCCAATCTTCCCAAAACTCTGGATTCTGATAGAGGGCCATGAGACTTAGACCTGAGTGCAAAAATGGAGGCTCTAGCCCCTTCCAGAGCTGAGATATCGAAACTCAAAAATTCGGCCCGAAAAAAAAACGACAGTGGTACCCCTTACGTTTTTTTTTTTGGGCGAAAAATTAAGTTTCTCCAATCTTCCCAAAACTCTGGATTCTGATAGAGGGCCATGAGACTTAGACCTGAGTGCAAAAATGGAGGCTCTAGCCCCTTCCAGAGCTGAGATATCGAAACTCAAAAATTCGGCCCGAAAAAAAAACGACAGTGGTACCCCTTACGTTTTTTTTTTTTTGGGCGAAAAATTAAGTTTCTCCAATCTTCCCAAAACTCTGGATTCTGATAGAGGGCCATGAGACTTAGACCTGAGTGCAAAAATGGAGGCTCTAGCCCCTTCCAGAGCTGAGATATCGAAACTCAAAAATTCGGCCGAAAAAAAAACGACAGTGGTACCCCTTACGTTTTTTTTTTTTTGGGCGAAAAATTAAGTTTCTCCAATCTTCCCAAAACTCTGGATTCTGATAGAG